CTCTCAGTGGATAGAGCATTGGCCTGTGGACTAACGTGTCCTGGGTTCAATTCCAGTCAAGGGCACAGGTTGCAGGCTTGATCCCCAGTGGGGGCCGTGCAGGAGGCAGCGGATCAATGATTCTCATCATTGATGTTTCTCTCTCTCCCTTCCTCTCTGAAATAAAAATATTAAAAACAAATAACAAAGGAAACAATTTGATCCTGCCTGTTGCTGACTGGCCCAGACATGGATAGGAAGTCCAGGCTGGGATCAGCCAGCCCACCATTGAAAATCTGAGCTCGGGGACCCAGGGGATGAATGGTGAGTCTCTGAGTTAAATGGTCAAGTACTATCTAGGCTTCAACCAGCTTCTTGATAAGCCCAGGGTCCAAGCAAGTGTGTCCCAAGTTTCAGGGGACAGAGAAGATATAAAAAAAAAAATCAGAGAAAGCTGACTCTTTGCAGGAAGCCTGAGAATAAAGGGAAGGGGCAGAAAGAAGGAGCAGTGAGGACACGGGAGGTTGGCGAGAGGATGTCGAAGGCAGCAGTTAAGAGCTTGGGCTCTGGTGTCAGAATACTTTGGATTCAAGTCCCAGCTCTGCTACTTCCTTACCTTGAGCCAGTTATTTAACCTCTTGAAGCCTCAGTTTCCTCATCTGCAAAATGGGATAATAACAATATCTACCTCAGAGAGCTGCTGTGAAGATTAAATGTGTCAACACACCCAGAACATTAAGGGCAGCTTCCAGCAGAACACAGTGAGTGTCTGATAAATGCCAGCTATCATCCTGGGGGAATATCTCAGCCCACCCTCCCCATCAGCCCTCTAGGTGGCCCAGCTAGTCTTTGCTTCCTGCTCTTCAGGAACTGCCTGCTGTATCCTGTAGGGAAACACCGTTGCTGTTTGGATGAGTGTGAGAGGCTTCTCTCCCCTGTAATGAATCCCCAATCAGGACATGGCTGTCAGGTCTCTCTGCATTTGACCCCACTCCCTCTCTTTGGCCTTGCCTCCCACAGGCACTCAATCTTCACGCTTCCCTAGCCACATGCGCCTGTTGGTCTATTCTGCATGTCTGTGCCTCTTCCTCTCTGACCAGTGAACTGTAATCCATCTTTTAAAATCCAGCCCATGTGTCCTGTACCCGCCCCTCAGAAGTCATGCCTACATTCCCCAGGCAGGCTGGCCACGCCATCCTCTGGACTCCCCTATTATTTTGTCGTACCATGGGGTGCATATCACACATATCCCATTCCTGGGGATGTGTGCATCCATCACTGCCCAGTATCTGTGAGCTTTTGGGGGGACAGGGACTGGTTCTGAGGCTTAACTCTGCACATCCAGCACCTAGCCCAGGGCATGACACCCGCAGGCCTCCCAAGTGTTTGTCATCTGCTGCTCAAGGTCACAGAGCTACAAGTAGAAGGGCCAGGACCAGCATTCAGTTTTCAATGCGGCCACTATTTATTGATCATGTGCTATGTGTGAGGCACTGGGATACCACAGGCAGCAAGAGAGCTCTGGTGCCAGCTCAGAATAGGAACGGGAGCATCTCATGATGCAGTGTTTCCTCAATCTCAGTTGCTCTACCAACATCTTGATTTTCTTTTCTTTTATTTTCTTCCCCCTAGTGGTGTTTTCAAAGAAAGCTCGAGTTTTATATTCTTGATTTATAGTCATTGAACAAGAAAAATTCTGCAATCATTTTATAAAATAAAATATCCGACATGCACAAAAGTAGATCTATTGGAGCTGAGGGGGGTGAGCCGGGAGGTGGTCAGCCTGGGTTTTTAAAAAATATATTTTTATTGATTTCAGAGAGGAATGGAGAGGGAGAGAGAAATAGAAACATCAATGATAGGAGGGAATCATCGATCGGCTGCCTCCCGCACGCCTCCTACTGGGGATCAAGCCCATAACCTGGGCATGTGCCCCTGACCTGAATCGAACCCGGGACCCTTCAGTCCACAGGCCGACGCTCTACCCACTGAGCCAAACCGGCTAGGGCTCATTTTGCTTAGTTTTGACATCATATTGTATGTGCTCTTTTGCTACCTGTACTACTTTTTCCTGAATAGTAATAAAAAAAAAATAATAAAATAAAATAAACAAACCCACTCACCTTCTTTGTTTTATTTTACCCCCATCCTAAGAAATAAACTTCTGCTTTTGCATGTTAGAAATATATGTATTAAATATTCATTAAAATAAATATGTGATCATTGGAAAAAGCCATTTTGGCAGCACACTTTGGAACCACTGCGTTGGGGTTAGGAGCGCCACCCTGGACCTGGAATCCAGCTTTGCCATTTGTTGGCGAGGTGGCCTTGGGCACCGAGACTTCCCTCCCCTCAGTTTCCTTATTGGGGACATACCAGTGGATGATCTGGACCTTCAGGGGACATTTGGCAAATACTGCAGAAATTTTTGATTGTCACAACTTGGAGGAGGGACAGCTAGAAGGCGGAGGCCAGGGATGCTGTTAAATGTCCTCTAATGCACGCGACAGCCCCACAATGAAGAATGATCCAGTCCCAAATGTCAATAGTACCGAGGTTGAGAAACCCTGAGATGTAACGATAGTCAGGCCCGCATGAGTTGTAGAGTGGGGGAAAGGAGACTGTGCATGTAAAGCTACTAACTAGCTCAGGTCTAGTCAGGCACAGAGCGGGTCTGACCTTATGAGGCAGCCAGCCAGAGCCTTGGGCTGAGCCCCAAGGTTGCTGCTGCAGCCTCTGACTCCAGCCAGGAGGGAGCCAGCAGGAGAAGGAGTAGATCCCTGGGGAGTCTGTTCCTTTAAGAGCTGGGAGGTCCCATTCTAACCCAGTTTCTAAGCACAGACAACTCTAGGAAAGGCTCCCATAATTGAAGTCTGCCAACAGACCCATAAATTATGCACCCAGCTATTGTGTAGTCCTTAGGCCTGCTATTCTAAGGCAGGTACCCACTTTGTACCTGAGAATGTGCCCTCCCCTCCCCTCCCCTCCTTTCAGCCTAGGGAAGAAGAAAAGGGGGGGCAGAGGCCCTGCTGGCTCCTGGAAGTGGATGCCTGCTGCTCAGGGTTGGGTTGCGAGGGTCTGAGTGCACCAGGCCCCCTTTCCTGTGTGTGTGAAAGTATCAAATAAAATGTGCAACAATGCAGCCTGAAGGGCTCCCCTCACCCACCCCTCCCAACCCTGCCCTTAAGGTCGTTCTCTCTTCCGGACCCACCAGAGCCAGGGCCACACTTCCTGGCTGGGGAACTTCCTGGTGTGAGTTAAACCCTCTGTGCCACAGTTTCCTCATCTGTAAGGTGCGGGTGTATGTCATTGCAGGGCTGCCATAAGAATTCAATGAGCTCATCAGGCTCTTAGATCAGCTTTCATTAGTCCACAGGCTTACACTTATTTATAAGCTGCTTTGGGACCTGAACTTGAGTCCTGGCACTATTATTTCGGGCTGTGTGGCCTTGGACAAGACACTTCCCCTCTCTGAGTCTCCATTCCCTTATCTCTAAAATGGAGATGCAAGTAATCAAGCACTTATCACATAACGGTCACTATATGTTATGTTATTCAATTAAATTATTATTCAGGTAATTCACTGTTGCCCCCACTACCCAACCCCAGACAGGTTGCTTTCGGAGGTCCAGGACTAGGTCTGTGGGCCCGAGGGCCCGGCTAAGGCAGTAGACATCCTACAAAAAGCCTCAA